ACAAATATGACTTGGAGACTCTTACAAGGACATAAGTTTTATTTTATTTTAAAAGGAAAAGCATAAAAATAACAATTTCATAACACATTACTGGGAATGTTTGATCAATTAATACTTTGCATATATTTTGTACTTTGTATATCTACTTTAAAGATAACAATATTCAATGTATTAACTATTGTTATGCCCCTGTTATTTTAATAGGAAATTTGGCTTTACATTTTTCATAAAATAAAAATAAATGATGAAATATAATTCCATTGAGCAATAATATGTACAAGGCCTAAAATATAAGCTCTGCACTTATGCTAATTTTATTCTGTAAGAGCACTCAGTAGGAAAGTGATCAAAATATGCACTGTGCTGAGTCAAGACCCATGATATGACTGACTTTTCAGACCACAGTCTCTGCTTCTGTGATCACTAGGGAAGGTGCTAAAGGAGTGAGTAATCCAGCATGGTCCTTACAAATTTTGAGAGAAGAATTTTACTGGACACATTGTACATGGCAGTGGATCATCTGTTAAAAAAAATTCTAAACATATTCATTACCATTCTTGTGATTATACATGTGAACTTGATGATCGTGTCATTCCAGAAACTTTCTACTGTCTGTGATTGTTAAGCTTTATTATGATCATAAGTGGCTTGAAAGCAACATAGAGTATTAGAGGGCTCGCTTAGGGGTGTGATCCCACAGGTCACAGCTTGAGGAACAGCTCTGGCTTAAGTAGCACATGCAGTTCCAGTCTATTTATTTTCTGTTCTACTCAACGTTGGATGTGGATAGCTGTAGAACTGTTGGTCCGTGAGTTCACCTCCGCAGTAGTCAGTCTGTAGCACTGTTAACATTGGTCCTCTTGTGTGACACTTTTTTAGTGAGCTGTGAGCTCAGAGGAAGACAGAGCACTGAAAAATTATTGGTCAGATTTCTTTGGCATAGAACCTACAGACATTCTTTCTATGGCTCCAAATGGCAAACTCCTAAAATTCTAGAAAACAGTTCAGCAAAGTTGGAGGTGCTGTTTGAACTCTTCTGCAACCATCATACAGACTTAGAGGAACAGATTACAGTTCATTGTCACCCCCAGTTAAATGTGAACAATGCACCACCTTAAGACGTGAGATGTTCCTAGACTTAGATCACCAACTGGTGCTAAAGCATATGACACACAATAGTGGGCATGTCATAAATGAGGACATCAAGTGTCCCAATGCTGAACAATATGAGTGACTGCCTGCTCCTGGAAATATAAATTTTAATTGATTTTCTGGAAAGAGAAAAAATCCAAATTATGAGGATTGTAATAAACATCAAATCCATGAATGCCCAGATGATCCCACACAGCAGCAGAGTGCTTTCAAAGAACTGAGACCACAGTCAGAAGTGAAAATGATATACCAGATACTAATTAAAGCATAAGAAAACCTTAAATGTGCCCTAAAATAGCATGATAAAAAATTTAAGAAACCTCATAAGAACAAAATAGCTAATTCAAATACTAACAGATGTCTAAAAACATTTTAAGAAGCAAGCAGATACACTTCATCTAACCACAGATTAACAGATTTTCCTATAGAAATAGTGTGTGGTCTGCACTAAAAATCAAGATATCAATCCCATTCATAATAGCCACATAATTCAGTAAATATTTAGGAAAATTTGAACCAAAAGACTGAAGGATTTTTATATTGATAACTATAAGAATGATACATCATAGAATTGAAGGAGGATTCAAATAATGGATACACATCTTGTGTACATGAATTGGAACAACTATATAGTTAAAATTCTCTAACAACACAAAATAATCCACAAATGCAATGTAGTCACCACCGTATTTGCCATCACAATCTCTGTAGACCTGTGTGGCAGGGGAGAATACTCTGAAAATGTATGGAACAGCAAAGTGTTCTAATGTTTTTCTTAATTTAATTAAGCTTATTTGTGTAATTTACATATATACAAAATGATCACATTCATAACAAGCTATTTAGACCTGTACATACAATATGATTTTTTAATACCCATTTCCACCACTTCCCTCCGACCCTTATTTCCATCTTATTTACCAAGCTTTATTTCCATTTTAAGTCCTTTCTAAATTCTTTTCTTTTCCCTTTCTTCATTACCCATTCTCCTCGCCCTAATTCACCTTTCATTTTGAACAACTTCTCAGTTCATCATATTTCTCGTACAAATTATATTACATTTTTTATTTATACTTTAAGTGTCTCACATAAGTAAGACAACATATTTACACAGATGTATCTGATTTATTTTACTTATGAGTGTGGTCGCAAGGTCCATCAATCCGACAGTAAATATCACAAATTTATCTTTCTTTATGGAAGAGTAGTGCTCCATTATATTTTAATTAAGTAATTAATTAGTTTTGATACATGGGATCAAACTCTGGACCTTACACTTGCTACGCAGGTGCTTATGTTGGTATGCTGTCTTCCCAACTCCATTATATGTATTTTAAAATAACACATTTTTTATCCATTTTAGCTTGATGGACATTTGGATTATTTGCTCTTACAAATCGTGTTGCTATAAACATGAGTGGAAATACATTGTTGTGGTTGATGCTTTTAGATCTTTTGGAAAAATACCAAGAAAGGAAATAACCAGATATTATGTGACAGCTAGTCCTAGATTTTGAGGAATCTCTAGTTTGACTTCTACAGTATTTGTACCAATTTTCACTCCCACCAGCAGTGGAGAAGTGTTCTTTTTTTTCCTATCTCTCTCTGTGTTTTTATTTTTTTTTTTTTTTTGATGACAGTCCTTCCTCCTGGAATGAGATATAATCTCAGTGTTGCTTCAGTTTTCATTTCTCAAAAGACAAATGATGCTGAACTTTATATTTATTTGCTACTTGCACTTCACCCAAGAAGTGTGGAATCATTTCACATGAAACATTTTTCGATTGGTCTTTTAATTTAGAAATATTTTAAATTCTCTATATCTTCTAACCATTAGTTTTCTCTGAAACAAAAGTTGGCACATTTATCCCAATCCATGGGTGGTCTGTTCACCATATTGATAGATTTCTTTTTCAGTGCAAAAGCTTTTTAACAAGATGAGATACCACTTACTGATTGTTTATAGTATTTCCCACATGATCTGGGATTTGCTTGAGGAATCTGCCTGTATCTATGTCTTCAAAATTTCTGTCTTTCAGCAGATTTACTGTTTTTTTTTATTTTCTGTGAATATTTAGATATTCTATTCATTTTAATTTTAGTTTAATGCATGGGGAAACATTGATCTAGTTTTATTCCTTTACATATGAAAAACTCATTTTCCAAACACCTTTTAGTAAACAGGCTATTTTTTTTCCAGTAAAAGTATATGATCCCTTTGCCAAAGATAAGGTGGCTGAATGAGCTTGGCGTGCATTTATGCATCTTCTAACCTGTTCCATTGATCTTGAGCTCTGCTTTCTTTCCAATACCATGCTGTCTTTATCACTGTAGCTTTGCAGTATAATTTCACATTAGGTACTGTGAGGCCTCCTACCTTTCCTTTGATACCCACAATTGATTTTGCTATTTTGATTCCAAACGAATATGAGGATTGTGTTCCCTAATTTTGTGAGGTATGTTAATGCTACTTTGATTAGGATCTCATTAATTATATATAAATATTTAGAAAATATATACATTTTCACAATCTCATCGCAACGAAGAGCAAAGGATATCTTATTTTCTGGTATCTTCTTAGATATCTTTTTTCAGAGTACTGTGATTTTCAGTTTAGAGATTTTTTACTTCTTTTGTTAGATTGATTCATAAGTATTTCCAATCTCCAATTTTAGAGATGCGGTTGTGAAGCATATACTTACTCTAATTTCCCTCTCAGTGAATTTATTTGCATACAAGAATTCTGTTGATTCTTGACTGTTTCACTTGTATTCAGTTATGAGATTGAATTTTGTTATTAACTCTGTTCATATTTTGGTGTAGTTTTTGTTTTCTTTTCTATAGAGAATCGGGACATATGAAAACAATGTTAATTTAACTTCTTGCATTAATTTTTCTGCCTTCACAAATGTATCAGACAACTCAAGTGGTATTCTGTAAAAAAAAAAAAAAAGCAAATTTAGAATTTATTGCACCAATAAACTACAAAATACCTTTGAAAGTTGTAATAATGAAAACACTTAATGTCTTTCTTGGTGCCTTACATTCAGTGGAGATTTAAGAAACAACTGCTAAGCAAATACATGTATCACAACCACAACTCTATTGGAATGGCTAGTGGTCCTTTCCATCCCTTTTAAATGTCTGTTCTTTTCAAACCCATTCCCTTCCCTAGAACTAATTTGGCTTATATTCCTATTCAGCCTTCTGACTCCATCCTATTCCTAGAGCTTATCTTCTGATTTATGTGTGGGGGAATATCCTTTTCTTGGTCTTCTCCCAGATCTTATCCATATACCCCTCTGAGTTTGTAAGCTGAGAAGTTTCAAATTTTGCACCATACATGTAAAAGTAAGTGCTATGTAGGATATATTCCACAATTTCATTTATTATCTATCTATCCATCTGTCCATATCATAGCCTCATATTAATACATATATACATAATCATAATGTATATATAATCATAATTTATAAAAGATATACAATGGAAAAAACAAAGTCAGCATGGATTTTTCTGTATTCACAATATTATTTGTTGAAAATCAATAAATAGGTTTATAACTAATTGAAGAATTTTCCTTAAATACAAGTCATTGAGTTTTACTAAGTTCTTATACGCAAACAAGAATACATACTAAGTTGTCCGAGATTCAATATCAACATTCTGAAATTCTACTTCATACAGAATTTTGACTGGAAAATTTTGCTTCTTTGCCTTCCAAGAAAGTATCTAACATTAATGAAGTAAAATATATGAGTGTGGGGAAAGTCAATTTCAAAAGGGTCCCTTTCTTCTCATTTAAGGATTTTGAATCTGGCCTGCTACAGTGTGGACCTAATTTTTACAAATACTAAGAGAAAATGAAATTAACTATTGTGAATTTGAAAAAGAATTATGAGTTCTTGAGAGTTATGA